CTGGGCGCCGGGGGCCGAGGGTGGGGCGGGCGTGACGTGTCCGGTAGCCCCGAGACCGGTGCCGCAGGCTTCCTCTCCTGTCTTTGCCTGGCTGAGGGGAGAGCGCCACAGCACAGGACGGGCCAACGCCAGCAGAGGGGGCTGCCCCAGGCGGAGTGGGTTGGAGTCGGGGGAGGGGAGCACCCACAAGGAGTCAGTCGGTACCCCCCGAGACCGGTGCCGCAGGCTTCCTCTCCTGTCTTTGCCTGGCTGAGGGGAGAGCGCCACAGCACAGGACGGGCCAACGCCAGCAGAGGGGGCTGCCCCAGGCGGAGTGGGTTGGAGTCGGGGGAGGGGAGCACCCACAAGGAGTCAGTCGGTACCGGGGGGCGGGGTGGGATGCGCTGCCACCGGCTCCAGGGCGTGGTGCGTGGCCGCATAGCCTCCGTCACCCGGCTCCCTGGGGAAAGCCCCAGGGTTCCCCAAACTGCTGGCTGTGCCCCTGGGCCTTTGAGCGCCCTCTCCAGGGCCGGCTGGGGCCCCTCGCCTCCCCACCTCCGTCCGCGTCCCCCAACACGGCTGCGCTGCTCACAGGTCAGGTTCAAAACTCGGCATCTCACTGACGTTCCAGTTCGGAAACGTCCCCCGAACCCATCGTCAACGTCTCCGTTTTCCAGCTGGCTCCAGCGGACACGGCCGAGCCAGGGGACGCCGGCTGCGAGGGGACCTCGCCCCTTCCGTTGTCCCAGCAGGCTCTGGAGGTTTCCTTGGCAAAGGGCTCCCCGGAATCCCCAGGGGCCAGTGCTTGCCTTCCAGAGGCCGAGAAGTGCAGCTTTCTGCGCTGGCTCTGTTCATTCGTGTCCCGGCTCCCACCGACACCACGTTTAGCCTCTCAGAGCCTCCACCCCTGTCCAGCTCCCCCCGGGCCGGCCAGCCAGAGGCCCTGTGTTGGAGGCGGATGTAGGGTGGCCTCTGCCCCATGCCCAGATGTTCCGTACCCCTGCCGGCTGGGACAGCCTCACGCCCGCGGCATGGGGGACACCACTCCGAAGCGCCCCCCCATCCCCCCCCACACACGCTCTGAGACCTGGCGCAATGACAGCATGAGGGCCCAGTGGGCGGGGTGGAGCAGCCTGCTCTTCCAATGACATCACCTCTCTGGGGTGCGGGCCCCGCCTCGGGCCGGTCTGTCTCCGTCCTGCTCAGGGGTAAACCATGAGAGAGGAAAACTGCAAAGACCCACCTGGTTTAAAACCAGAGAAACGAGCTGCCTGGGGCGAGGCCCCCACCCGGAGCCCCGCCGGGTGGGCGAGTTCCCACCGAGAGTGGAAATTCCCAATTCCAATGACATCACCTCTCTGGGGTGCGGGCCCCGCCTCGGGCCGGTCTGTCTCCGTCCTGCTCAGGGGTAAACCATGAGAGAGGAAAACTGCAAAGACCCACCTGGTTTAAAACCAGAGAAACGAGCTGCCTGGGGCGAGGCCCCCACCCGGAGCCCCGCCGGGTGGGCGAGTTCCCACCGAGAGTGGAAATTCCCAAACCTGCCAACATCGGAATATTTCGAAGCGTAGCTGCTCCCCGCTGCTGAACGGG